CCACTCGCCGAAATTTGCGGTTTTTTTTTTTAATATTTCTCTTCCTTGCCCATTTCAAAACAAAGAAAATTGAAAGAGTTTACTTGCATCAACAAACGTTTCTGCACATTGTTTAGACGTTGATGAGGTCAGCGCAAGCACTACATATACGCGCGCTGTTGTCCAGGTCAAGCGGGGAGATGAAATTTGATAGTAGCTCGTGTATGTTAAAGCCGGTCTACTTCGTTTTTGTTAAGACCATGTTAGAGTTTTTTTTTGCAAACTACACTTTTTGTTAAATCACGAGCACATTCGCCAAGATCAACGAGCAAAATAATCGCTATGATAGCTTAGAGACGCGCCATTTTGATGAAGGCAAACCCTGTGGTGAGCCTCCATGCACATCGCTTGTTCAGCGGTCGCGCATGCTCATGCAAAAAAGACCCCTGTTGGTCTTAAACATTCACTACAATTTTTGGACTGGGGGTTAACGCCATTTTGTTACAGTTTCATATTTTCTCCCACCTCAGATTCTTATAGCTTAGGTTATGTTCACACTACACCGAATAACTTTCCCGCAGGCACCAAAACCATAATGGATAGGGCTTCTAGTTACACATAGGTTCTGTTACTAAGCTAGTTTAAACCAAGCCACAGACAGTGGTGGCCTAATCTTGATTGGCCCTCAAGCTATGTTCACATTATACCGGCTAGCTTTTGCGCCAGCACGAAAATAACGGATGGAGCTTCTGTTCACACATAAGAACGGTGATTTCGGCGCGGTTTCTGTAACGGAGTGAAGCTGCGCCGCGCCGATCTCTTAAGTGGAGAGTCACATATCGGAAAGGTTTTCATACTATGCCGGATAGCTTTTCGTTTCGGCATGGAAATCAAGCTATTAGGTATAGTCTGAACATAGCCTTCCATTCCTCAAATTTTTAGAGCTCATCAATCACGCACTTGTCTGATAGAAATAAAAAGCAAAAAAACAAAAACAGAAAACACACACTCCCATTAAACTCAGTTGTTTAATTTTCTTATATTCACAACAGTTTTCAAATCAATAGACGGTTTCGATACGAAGGCTTCGAACGAGAGGTGTGTCCTCTTGGACCACAGAATCACGTTTTCGGCGACGTTACGTTTCAGAGTAGCGATGTCAGTGTACATGTACGTTACTAAATCAAAACACGAACAAACAAACAAACAAACTCTTGACTGTTTGGCACTTTGGGTAAACTCTCTAAAAATCCTTTAAAATGATTTCTTGATGGTGCAAGAAACTCTAGATTTGTTCCTAAGCCTAAACAAAAAAATCAAAATTACCGACAACCAGAACATGAAAAAGGGTTAAAAGAGCAACATAATACAAGAAACGTTTAATAAATAATGATAATGAACTTTTTTAAAGTCTCATGTCTTATAGCTCAGGCACAGTGCCATATTAATTGGGGAGACTGTATCATATACATAAAACTCTAGTAATATATTGTAAATTCTAATTATAATTTAAACTCTAAATTCTAGTTCTAATAAATAACTACCTAATGATATCTCTGACTCGTAAATAAAAAAGAGTAAAATGGTGAGGCGAACTAATGCTAACTCTTGCAAAGGACACAGTGGTTACACGAGTCATCTATTAACGAGGCAATGTCTGTCTTTCTGATGCCTTTTTTAAAGTTACTGAGTGTAGGTGCTGAACTTAGCTCCCGGTTAATTTTGGACCAAAGAAGTGGCCCAAAATGCCTGAGAGAGTGTTTGCTGAATTTTGTAGTGTTGAAACATTCCTGTCTGAAGTCTGCGTTTCTGAAGTTATAGTTTGTGTGACTGGTGTCAAATAGTTCGGTTACTGAGATTGGCAACATGCCGTGCTTTATTTTGAACATGAAAATGGCTATATCCTGAAGCCTCCGATTATAAAGTGTTGTCATTTTTGCTCTGCTTAAGAGGTCATCGTACGATGTGGACCAGTCATTGTAGACAGTCCGCAGGCTCCTTTCGTTAATGCGCTACAGTTTTCGCCTATCACTAGCCTTACAGAAGTGCCAAACGAGACTACAGTATGTGAAGTGTGGCATAACGACTGTTTTATAGATTGTTAGTTTTGCTGTTGTGGGGACCAGATTCGTTAATCTAGATAACATGCCAATTAATTGTCACCGTTGTAAATGATAAGGCTATGCAACTTTTGTTGTGTAAAACTGAAACGAACTAATATCCTCTACGTTACTATTTTCACAGTTGCTATTGGCTGCACTTCACCAGCTTCAAAGTTTATATCTAACATGCATTGGCCTGCACATGTTTAAGCCACACTTAATGTATACGCCCCATCCACAAGTTGAAAAAATTTGAAAACAAGTAAAATGCACTATCGTTTGGATATCATTTCAATGCATTATACCGCCCACAGTAATCCGGAAAACTTAAAAAAAAGAGACGATTCCTCGACACTCGGCTTGAATAGAATGGAATACAAACGTTACTTCAACGCACGCCAGTAAGGCGATAACATGGTCATTTTATTTTGACGCCAGCTTTTTCGACCACTCATGCACCCTAAACTACCTAGCCGGTGTTTTCATATTCTTCCAATCTGAAGATTATTTTTCGGGGAGCAAAAGCATCATTTCAGTGTGGACTGTATGCATCTGTAATGTGCACGGGCCTTAAGCTGGCATTGCAATGAGACTAAACTCGAGCATTTTCTCTACTGACATAAATTAGTCTAACTTCTTCTAAGATACACGTCGAATGGAACTCCAGATGTACTCTACTTTCAATGTGGTCTGACTCGCAACTTATCTTTCAAAGATAGAAGGAAAACTGTAAAAGAAAAGAAGACATTTCATATCAATTTTTCTGAAATGAATGTTTTTCCAAGTGTTTGAGGAAACTGGATATTTTTTCAGAAGGCAGAACGACACGAATTACAATGTAATCGCATGAACTCTTAAAGCTTTGCAGTGTAGCCCATCGATATACCACTCTTCACAGGTCCACTCCAGCTAGAGCAAGAAATCCCTATGACAAGCCACCGCCTCTGATAACATGCCCACCCACTTTCTTTCAGTAGAAATAGGGAAGTCACCCCGTTTCATAAAATGCTAAGATAAATGAAAAGCTAATATCAAAGTTAGTTTGTTGAAATTTGTGAAACGTATGGGTAACTCCAATCAGATACCAAGAGAGCAGCTCATGTCATTCCCTTAAATTGTTCTATGGAACCAACATAAGATTCTAGGAAACTGCCTACACACCTCTCCCCTAACCCAGCGTTAACACTTACTTCTTATTTAGGACAAAATGGTGGGTTAGGGGAGGGGTAGGTGGGAAGTTTCACCAGAATCTTACACTACGCAAGAGCCCCTTGGCCGCCTGTCATTCACGTGATACAAAACGTTCATGCTAAAGAGCAAAGGGCGCCCTGGGACAAGACAAACAAAGTAAATTACCATTTAAATGATGTAAGCTTTTTGTTTGCCTTGCGTCAGTGCATCCCTTGCGCACCAGGTATGGCGGTTTTGTATCACGTGAATGATGATGCAAAATGGTAGGAAATAGGTGCGAATCTCGAATATGACCTCTTCACATAGTATTTAAGGTGGCTCGATAGGGTTTTTCAGGGTTACACCTCCCAAGTTTGAGCATAAACTACGTCACCATAACAAAAATTTGGAAAAATTACCACCACAGCTGTATTAGTTAAAGATGAGAATTTGTTATAATCAGGGTTTCAATGACATCGGAGTTGGCATAGCAACGAAATGACGCTGCTACCCATTTTACTTGTAGCTGCATTTTTCGGCACTGGAATCTTTCGTTCCAAAATCGTTCACGGGAGCTTTTTCTTCCAATAGCCGCCTCGATGTTCGTGAAGTTTAAGCGAAATCTGTAAGAGCTTTATCGAGATATTTTGGGATGAAGTTTTTATAGTTAGAAATACGGTAAAAAATTGGCAACTTGATGTACGGCCGTTATCTGTAGAAAACGAAGCGCTTTGGTATTCTTTCCAAGTTTCATTTTCACTTGAACAGCAGTAACTAACAATGCATTGGAAATATGCAGAAATGTTAGCTATTGTTGTCCACGAAAATATGAAACTTGGAGACAACACCATGAATAATAAGAGACTGTCACTTGTAAACACGAACATTCTCCCAAAAAGTAGCGAACTGTAACCCTTATTTTACTGCCTTACAATATATCAATAATCTTGAAACTTAAGGGTCATATAAAACGACGGTTAATCTCAAGAATCTCAATTTATCGAGTGGTTTAAAAGCTATTCGCTCATTTGTTAAAGTAGAACAGAATGTTTATAAAACCGTTAACAAGAGCGCCTCGATACATACTAATCAAATCGTTCTTTCTAGCAATCAGCTAGAGCTATCACCATGATCTTTCACTCGCGTTTTTAAAACGATTAAAACTATTATGAGGTGAAATTGCATCTCAAAAGCGCTTCGTTTTCTACAGATAACGGCCGAACATCAGGATTGTCCAGTTTTTACGGTATTTATAGCCATAAAAACTTCATCCCAAAATATCTCGTTCACGCTCTTACAGATTTCGCTTAAAATTCACGAACACCGAGGCGGATTTGGAGGAAAAAGTTCCAACTTCGGAGATTTTGACCCTGAAAAACCCTATCGAGCCACCTTAAGTGGGTTCATACATGGCATGGTGGTTGTCCTTCGTGTCCGAAGAAGACTGCGTGTTGTGTGATCAGCTATGGATACTCTGGCGGCTCTGCAACCCAATCTGGAATCGCAGAGTCTAGAACAGGTGGGGTACTGGAACTCCGTGTTGGGATTTCAGCAGAGGATGTTCTAGGGGGTCCTTCATAGGCTGCCATGAATCTTAGGGTTCATAACGAATCTTGAAATCAACTGGTGTAGTTTGGTTTCATCAACTTTCCCATTCGCGCCGTTAACTACACACCTGAAGCCATATTGTCTTATTTCTAGACTACAAATAAATTTTCATAATTGAGAGTAATATTACACATACCTTCCCTAACTCAATTTTCCTCTCACTATCTCCAGAATGTCTCTTGCTAAGTCCAAGGCCTTTTCTGCTTTTTGTGCTGTATACACCTCATTTGGTATCTTGGGGTAAGACATGGTGTCAGGATATCGCATGTGCGGTGAATTAACTACAACACCTTCCAGTTGACCGGCTAACTGGGTTAATTCATGGTCATCAAAGTCAGAGCAATTTTGATACAAATTGTGGTCATTCCACTTCTGGTTTGCGTCCAGTTTATATTGCAGGGCTTTAAGGGCCTTTTCCGCTGCCTGAGAAAACATAAACAACGGCACGTGATTAAATGGACAAGATCAAATTGAAAGACGCTATTAATGCGTATTCTAAATATTTTAGTTGGGGGCTATCTGATGATCCCAGAAAAGATCGAATCTTCGCGTTGATATGCCACATTAGGCTAAGTTAGCAACAGGACGGGAACATCAGTTGAAGACGAGCAAAGGTGCGGAAAGTACTAAACACGACTTGGGGTGCCCAATTTGCCGCTCTGCCATTGGTCAAGCCAGTTGTTTATTTTACGCGCCCCGTCTTTAACTGACTTTGCCGTTCTGTTGCTAAATCAGCCTATTAAAATAATTCTTTGCATACTCCATTTTAAGAAAATGGTTCTTTCATCCGTGTGTGTTAGGGCTACAATGGACATTTATGTAACTCTACGCTAAGAGCATCAAATAGCACCCTAATCGTATTGGAGGAAATTAAAATGTCCTTAAGAAACCCTGGGATTGCACACCTACGTCATTTATGCACCTTTAATATTGACATTTCCGTGCTCTGGGAATAATTCTGGATGTCAATTGGCTGATTAGATCGGAGTGTGCTAATGTCCTAGGCTATAACGTATGCTGTTTAAGCAGAAATGACTTCTTTCCCCTCAGCGACCTTCCTTTGAACTTTTAATAGTAGCCTCAACTTTACCTTAACCAATAATCGTAGTAGATTTCCTTCAAAAGGTTGTTTCCATTGTGTACGTCACTATTTTGGCATAAAAAGTGTTTTCAACTTTTACTGCTGTTTTCCATGCTATTTATTTACAATTTGTCGCTGTTGCCGTGCAGCGTCATCCGTTTAAATATTAAAAGGGTTAAATACGGAATTCTTGTTGGTAATTTACCGGCAGAAAAACGCACTTGTTGATTGTAGGCTGTGATTCGTACAGACGATTCTCGTAACTTCTTCAGTAAAAGCTGGTGCGTTTGTTGGCTGGTAAAGCATCTCTAAACCTACTTAAAGAAGTATGGCTGGGACAATATACAATGGAAATATATCACGACAAAATGCAGGATTACCTGGTGGCATTTAAAGCAAACCCATTCATATGAATCTCTGCCGAAGGAGAATTCCCTGGTGCCAGCCTCAAGGTCAGCTTCGGCTTGCCTGAACCAGCGCCTGGCCTCTCCGGGCTGAGAGTTTCTAGGACAGAAACTTGGAGGAAAACTGTACCCAGACCTATGGCCCGATGAGGACTTCCACGAACCGTAGTGTTTGCGGTAGCATTCTCGGTAGGTTTTTCGCTGCAAAGCTCGTTCTCTTGCACGCGCTACCCATGGGGCAAACAAGGAATCGTTACAATTACCGAGTCTGGAAATCTCACTCTTTAAGTGCTGAAAAGCTGCTGCGAACAACTCCAAATTACGAGCATTCTCCTTTGGAAACCACCGCAAAAACAGACGCTTAACAATTTGATCTCTTTCATCCTTTGGTAGTTCCCATGCGAGCTCGAGAGTGGCAGAGATCTCTTTGCACACTTCTTCTATATCTTCGTGTAATTCTTCTTGCTCGTCAAATATCTCCTCTAATCGGTGAAATTTATGCAAGCGAGCAGCACTGACCACAACCGCCTCCTTCTCATGTCCAATGTCGATTCTGTATGATTTCAACAACATCCCAGCATCTGTGTTTGATACCTCCTCAATAACTATAGCGTAGATGTAGATTGCAGTGCCTTCCTCCTGCTGTAGACTTGGGTCATGCAGCTGATAACCAACGTATTCCCCTGGTTCAAATTCTTCAAAAGCGTCATTCAAGAGATGCTGATCTTCAACTGGAATATAGGTACCGGGTTGTGGGTAGATTTTCATTTGTGCTGCGCCGTAACTGTCATCTTTTCTTATACCCATCTTGTCCAAGAGTGACCAGATGCTCGAGGGAGGACAACGTAACATACTAGTAATGACATAGGAATTCTTACCAAGGAATTCGCCGTACATTTCCACGATAATGTTAGTTACCTGTGCCCAAATGGTTTCATCTATTCCAGTTAGCGCATTGATGTAAACTCTCCACGTTTCCTTGCCAGGTAGCTCCAACCTCTCTTTGAAATACGCCACTGATTGCTCACTCTCAGGAATCAGGATGTCATTGTGATAAAGTGACGTTTCAAGGCCTTTTACGGATAGGAGCTCAATGCTTCGGAGTCCCCTTTCAACACCTGCTATAACCCCTTCATCGAAGCCTTTCTTCTGATAGTTGACGTCTCTAATGATCCTCACAAATCCATGTCCAAACTGCACAGAAGTGAGCTGCCGTTTCAATTCATTCACTGCCTCAATTGACACTACTTCTAGGCTTTCTGGGGAGATGAGCTTCTCTTTCACCACCGACGATAACATTTGTGGTTGTAAAGAAGCAGGCAACTTCATCATGAGATCTTTAAAGCTCGCCATAGCTGATTTTAAGTTTACTTCCATCAGGCTAAGGTCTGGCACGAACAGCTGGTCAATGCCGTGAATCCGACTGCCAAAGGTGGGAGCGTCATCAAATATAAGCTCTTCTGATTGACGCAAAGTAACAGGGTTAGCTTCTATTGGTTTGCGCGGAGAGCAACATTCTGGAGACACTGCTGGTAGGTACAATTTAGAGAGGGTTTTCACGCTTTCATCATCGTCTTGCAAACAGTTAAATAGTCCTCTAACCGCCTTACAACACATCTGGATTTCGTTTGGATGTAGCTTTGCTTCTTGGCACCTTTTCTGCAAAAGCTCTAACACCATAGCGTAGTGTCCAGAGTTTACAGTTTTGGAGCAGCCCAGCAGCTTACAAAAAGAGTGAAACTTGCCAAATTCAAGAGGCACTCTGTACAAGAATGGCTTTATCTCGAGATGCTCGTGGAGCTCGAGGACGGCTTGTTTAGGAAGGATGAACCGTTTCCCTTGCTCCACCAAGATACAACGTGTGCTCTGGAGCAGGATGTTCATATTAGGCTCATTGGCTGCCTTTTGCTGCAGGAATGTGTAAATGCGTTCCATGACCCTTGTGACTGTTGAAGCGCTCTTATCTCTGAGATCTCTTATGCCACTTACCGTCTGACAGTGGCTGATGACAAGACGAATTGTTGGCTCCTTCATAACGTTGAGCTGGGCCAGGAAACTTGTGATATACTTATCTGTCTTTCGATGAGGACAACCACTCGCAATGGCTCCATAATTAAACCTTGGATCCGCCCAAGTTGGAAGCAAATGCGCTTTGGTCCAAACAATTTCTTGATAATCGATTGGTACTGCACCACTAAATGAAATAAATGGAATTTTGCCATTCCTCATTTCCCCAAATGCTGGACATAGTGCTTCTAGGGACTGTTTTACTGGCTCTGACGCCACAAAAGGAATGTTACGAACACGAGTTAGGAGCCCTTTTTCTACAACATTAGGCCAGGAGATAAGATTATGCACTAGAACTTCGGACTTCTTGTAGGTCTCTTCAGTGCGTGCTGATTCAGCTTCATTTGCGACTTGGAGAGCGAACCTCACAAAATCCTCTTGTGAAACATCTGTAATTAGGCCTATCTTCTCCAAAAGGTGCAGCCATTCGTGAGTGTTGAAAATTTTCGGTGGAAAACTTTCCACTAATAACATAGTACGGAAAACGTCATTCCGGGGGTCGTAGAAACTGGACGCTGTCTTCGAGGACCCATCCACGGCCGGGATAAATGGAATTGCTTTCAGATGGTCTAGAAGTTGCTGCTTTTCAATTTCTTCGTTTTCTTTCCCTGGCACACTTGCTGAGAAAACCAAACCCCGAAGATATCGAAGATGGACCAATTTTCCTTGTAAAGTAAGATGCCGAAAACATTTCAAGATGAACTTTAGATATGCATTCGCAGGCGATAACTGGGGAAATCCGAGGAATTCATACAAGTCTGACAGACTTTCACGAGGTTCTAGAAACAAACAGGCAACTCTGGATTCTACATCATCCATCTCGTCCATGGGGATCCCACCAGGTAGGACAAAGACGTCTCTATCCTGTACTTCTGCAACCCTTCCGCCCGCCACTGGAAAGAAAGGAAGCTTCCTTAGTGTTTCTTTGTCGTCGTCTACTAAATCCTTGATACTACGGCTAAAATAACCAAGAATGCTTTCAGCTTCAGCGCTCTTTAGTCTACCACTAAGGGAGGCAGGATTCGTCTTCAGTTTCTGATTCAGAGCCTTTAAAAGCGAATGAGGTGTCTTCAATGTCGCCACAATATTACAAGCGAACTTGTATGAATCCGTATTAGTGTAGGATGACGCATCAACGCTACTGGATGCCATCACAACCGAGTTAAGCTCAGGTAATGTCAAACATCTCAAAGCCTCGACCAACTTCTTGCTTGACTGACCACAATCACCAAAATCAAGAACCGACTCCACCATTTTCAGAGGCACTAAATAATGATCTACAAACAGGCTTTTCTCTGTCGCTGGAAGAATGTTCCACTTAGACAACGGCTTGAGCAGGTCACGAATGAACGAAATTTTGTTTTCGTCTGCTACATCTGACTCTTTCAATGTTTCGCTGGTAAATCTCTCCAAAAAGTTCCAGACTCTGTAAATCCAGCGACGATTCGGCAAAGGAGACTTTGGATCTTCAGGAGACCACCTCATATAGTGATCCTCGCTACAGAAGCATCCGGGAAGCGCAAGGTGCAAATTTGACGAGAGTATTTGCACATCCAGAGGTCGGAATACAGGGGTCTTTTTAAGATCAACATTGTTGAAAACTTCGCAGTGGACTCTGTTGTGCACAAACAACGACGGAGATCGTGGTAAAATATCGTAATAATGACTCAAACACCGAGGTTCTTTCTCGCTAAATACGCGTAAGTAGTTATCTTGTGTGAGTAGCAATGGAAGACCCGGGAGATTCTCCAGAAAACATTCATCAGCCTTGCAGTACTTTAGAATGCCAATTACTGCCTCTTTGTCTTTGAATGGAGTCTTGTCAATGGGAAACGGAATCTCGCCAATACTGCAAAGCGGATTAACATCATTAAACGACTTAAAGAAGCCCATAATAACAAGAGGACATAGACAGTAAACCTCTACTTCCGCCTCTTTGAACGAACGGAAGACGTTGATTGATAGTGCGACTAAATTAAACCCAGTTCGTAGCATCGTTTCTTCGAATTGCTGTTTTCGCCTTATCTGGGCTGCCTCTTTCTTTCTTCTTTCCTCCTCTTCAACATTTGGCTTTAGAGAGGGTACAGCAAAGCAGCCTTCGATTTCGAGATTGTTGAAGAATACTTGGTTCTTGCCTATGCCTTGCGGTGGAAACCATGTTACTACTGATTTCAAATTTTTAGCACGAGCATCTGAAATATGCTTCAAAGATCTCACTACTGGAATTAGGCGCAACTCCTTCTTGCTCATTTCTTGGTACACGGAATCAGCTAACGTCCTCCAGTGTGAATCTTCAAAGGGATACCTGGGGAAAAGCCCTTCATAGGAAGTTAGCTTTTTCGTGATCTCACTCTTGCTAAAGGTGGAATACTGATCTGCAGCATCCTGCCCAACTGGCAGCTGAATGTATCCGCGTACTTTGTCCAGGAGAGTGAGGTAGCAGGAGGTAATAACATCACGCAGCAAAGCGTTATTCCAGTCACTCCGATAACCACCAGCTTCATCCCGCCACAAATTTCTTCTGGCCTCATGGTCCAAAGCAAAGTGACCGTTGATATAAACGGGCAAATTGGTTTTAAAGGGTAGTGGAAGAAAGCAGTACGCTTTGCCTTCTTTACCGTTTCGTTGCCCAGCTGACCTGCTGCTGTTTAAGAGGCAAGCCACACCACCCCGAGGTAGCATCCCAAGGTTTTCGTCTCTGAAGGCGTCATTGATACTCTTTGGTACAGGCTTATCAAAGCCGACCTGTTGTACAATCAACCAAGTCTCCTCCTCACCAACGCTGTCACGAAGTGTCATGGTATAAATGCACTTTTTCGGCTGTATACTTGTAGGGAGGAAATCTTTGTGTTTGGCTTGCTTTCCAACTTCCTTCATGTAATCAGCGAAACGCTGCCTTTTACTCTCATCTTCTTGAGTCATAACAACTTCAACGGAGTAGATACCTGCCAATTTTGCACTTCTGTCTATCTCTGCAATGCTAATCTTCCTCACATTGTTAACGAACAGAAGAACTTCAAACAACTCCATCTTCAGATCTTTCATCATTCCATCAAGTTGATGTACGGAAACAGGTTTCTTTGATATTTTGGATTCTTCAGCCATTTCCTGAGACTTAAGCGGAAATCGAAACATGGTTGCATTCTTTATGGGAAACAATTCCTCAAGATAACAGGGAAAAACATCTGGAAACTTTTTCTTCAACTTATCGATGTCTTTGTACATTCTTCCAGGTTTTGCATCACTCGCACACGGAACGTACTTGCAGTGGGGGTCAAACACGCAGAAAACATCTCCAATTTCTTCACCCTTCGACCTGAATGACGGCACATCAGTCAAGTGGTACACAGCATTAAACCCAACTCCATACTGACCAGTCTTGTTGGGATCTTCTCCTTTGCTGCCCTTTCCGAGGTTACAAATTCCTTCAATATCCGCATTGGTAAACGGTCTGTTGTTATATACACAAAGTGCAGGACCTTGCAGAGGCTTCCAACTCTCTTGGAACACTCTTTCATCAGGATGGTGTCTAGGATCTTTGATAAAGCAAATTTCGGTTGCTTGTGCATCATCTGCATTTTGAAGAAGCTCTTTTAAAATTTCTTTCTCGCCTGAGTAGCCTGTCAAAATCCGTTTCAATCGATTTGTGAGCTCTTCCTTTTGCCCAAAAGGAAACCCAATATCGTGTTGTTGCAAGGCCCCTTCTCGGCGTGTTTTAGCCCCCAGTTGTTTACAGGTCGACCAGGGAATTTTTTCATGAATGAGCTGTTCCTCTGGATCATCAGGCATCCACGGACAATCCTTGTAGCAAAGATCAGCCACTGCAAACATTCTCCTTCCAGAATCAGGAAGATAAATATAATTCGAGCTTTCCTTCCCGGCATACCATTCCTCATTACCATGTTTCACAGTCTCCCCAAGTTCGATAGCCATATTGACTGCCACTTGCAAGGTGTGCTCATCCAGTTGTGTCTCTGCAAACTTTTGCTTTATTTTTTGAAGACCTGAAATGTAGTCCTTCGCTTTAAATTGCTTTCTAACACCGCTGAATCTCAGGAGTTTGGCGTAAGAATCGGATAAAGTTTCTGGAAGTTTATTAAGGTAAGGGGAACAGTCGGTCTTCACCTCAAAGGCGACCTCATCTGCAGAGAGAAAGCGCCTTTCAATTAAAATGAACGGTTTCGTAGACAGGAATTCCTTAACGGAGGGCGTACAGTTGGCCATATTATCTTGTAGAAAAGAATAAGCCTCTGTGCAAACGCGTCTCACTTCGTCTAAACTCTTACGATCCATTTTACCCATGCTGGCGGAAATGGCTTCAGTTAGTTGTCTCATAACGTGCTCTGTAGTAACTCTTTTTTCACGTAATCTTAGCAACTCTGTCACCTTCTTGGGGATTTCTAGATCGACAACTAACTCCGTACAACACACCAAGTATTTGTTGGAAGGAAGAAAAATGTCCCTTGGGGCTGCCAGAAGCCTTCGAGATGTTCGATATTCTTCGCTTTTCCAGCGAAGGGGAAACGATTTCGGTCTCTCTAGTACTGGGAGAAACTCAGCTTTGACAATACGAGAAATGACGCCTTCCGAGGAGCCTTTATCTGTCAGCTTCAACTTCTTTTGTACGAATTCTATCAAAAACTTAGCACGCTTAACTGCCGCCTTACTGTCCACTGAATTAACTCGTTGGACACTCTCTGCTCTTTCTGCAATATCCTCCCAAGGAAGATCGTATGAGTTCATTCCAAGTACCTCCAGTTTGGCAAGCACTTGTGGGTTGCGAAATGTACTCTTGTCGCCAAAGGGAAACCTACCATCGTCTGGGAAAAACAAGGAGGAAGCTTCTTTTTTGGGATTCACTAACTGACTCGGCCGCTTGAGAATCTTTCCATCAGGCGACACTGGAACGCAGGAGTTTTTTATTATCAAGGCGTCCAACGTTTTGCTGTCTTGATGTAGTGCATGTAGCACAAGAACATCCCGCTGGTCTGAAGTAACACTTGAAATGTTTGGAAAGAAAACTTCACGGAAAAATCGAAACTTGTCGTATGTTTTACTTCTTAGCACATTTAACAGATCACAACGTTCAAAAGACTGGAATACTTCGGCTGGCAAATCAATCACCACATCATTTCCTTTAGGGAAGTCACAAAACACAGAAAACGAAATTTCTCCAATTTCAGGATCCATGCGAAGGTCTGGATGAAGAAAAACCACCTGAGTAATGCCAACCCATTTTTCTCCATTGGAAAACAGAGCATGAGCTCCATTAGCAATTTGCTTGTAGAAAGACTCTGTAATAGACCAGCACTGCTCGCTTACGTCAAAAGCCCTTGGCCACAGTGAATGGAAAACATAACGTCCGTCTTTGGGGACAATTTCCTTAAGGTCTTCAAGGAGGCACAGATAAGCAGTAGATATGGAATCAGTCATTAGAACATTATTCCATTCCTCGCCATAGCATATTTTGTCGTCTTCAAGTTTGCCCTGCAAACGACGCCTATTAGAATCTACTGCAAATGCACCATTTATGCAAACTGGCAGGCCACTGTGAATCGGGAGTGGAAGATAGCAAAAAACCATTCCACTCTTTGCTGGTGTGGGCAGAAAGGTCTTGCAGTCCAAACTAAATAACTGAGCAGCTACGCCTCCGGACGGAAGAAGACTAGGATCGCTTTCAGAAAACTCCATTGACTCTCCACACCCCATTGAGGACACGATCAACCAGCTTTCTCGTTTTCTTCCAGGGGGCTTCTCTTTTTGAAAAAAACTGGCTCCAAACTGGGTTAAAAAGCATTCCACATCAATGATAATGGATGATTCAGGGAATTCACTTTGCTTGGCTGTTTTACTCTGGGGAAGTTTTTTAAACTTGGATGATGCTTGAAGGAAATTAGACTGTACCATCAACTTCCTCTGTTCTGCAGTCAGTTTGTTCGAAGTGTTTGGTAGTGCGATAGGGAAAGACAATTCTCTCAGTATTCCTCCTTGTGCGAGTGATTTGTTGACCTGAAACATTAGCAACGGTTGTAGATTTTGCCCTGAAGAGTTTGGTAAAAAGTACATTCCAACACGGAATACGTTTTGCGTAAAAAGAAGAACCGTGTTTGCTTTCTCGATAAACATTTCTAACAGTTTCCTCATTTCGTGGTCGTCGTAACACTTGTTTCTGATCTCACTGACTGCTGCTTGTTCTCTTGTCCTCAATGGAAATCTAAACAGCGTACCATTGTACGAGTAGTCGTCTCTGTCAAGACTTAAATCACAGCCAAACACGCCATTGAATGGTTTGAACTGATTTCTAAACGTCTTCAAATTTCTGACATCTTTGTTGAGATCAATCTTCATACCTGGCTTTCTGTTATTGATCGCAGTTCCCAGGTGAGATGTGTTAGGATCAAGTATGACAAAATAGTTCTTACTTACAAACATCGGCACATCTGTGAGGTTGTACACTGCATTGAAGCCAAGTCCGAATCTACCAATCTTCTCGGTGTCATACATTTTGGTTGCTTCATTAAGTTTTGTGATGTTAATAAAGTCCTCATTCTTAAAAGTTGCATCGTTGTACACCCAGAGGGCAGCACCTTGACATTTTTTCATTCCATCGTCAATGAGACAGGTCATGGCATCCTCGTTGGTTCTTTCATCGTACAGGAACTTAACCTCAGTGGCACCAGCATCATCTGCGTTTTGTACCAGCTCTTTTAGCACAGCAAGGCCATCTTTGTAGTCTTCTAAAAGTCGGTTTAATCGAGTGGTAAGCTTCTCCTCCTGTCCAAACTCTTCTCCAATGGAAAGCTCATCTGGGTCTAACATTCGATGTGTTAACGATGGAACACCCAGACGTACAGCAGTGTTGTTAGGCACATTATGATGCACATGATAGTATTTTTGCTCTCCGTCTTCGCTTTCACTCTGCAACCATTCCTTTTGTTCAGTGTACATGCAGTGCTTGACTGGTTCAAGCCGGACGTACAAGTTGCCATCGACACGGACAGGTAGAAGGATCTCTCTTTGGAACTGTGGTGATAGTTCATCACTTGCCAGTTCGTTCAAAATATCAACTGATAACTGGAGATCGTGTCGTACTTCCGAGGCGTTCATAACTGGAGAATTTTGACCGTCATACTTTTCTTTAATCAAGCCAAGTACTTGCACTAAAAGAGATGGATCGCTGTTTGTCCTCATGCCAAAAAGGGTGAACAACTGGGAGTGTTTCATCATCTCCGAAGGGAGGAGGCGAATGAAGGGTGTTAAGTCAATTGCTGGCTTACTGAAAAGCACTTGGCCTGGTGAGGAAAAGCCATCTCCATTCCAAACCCAGGCGAAATGCGAGTTGCTTAGCACCTCTGTGACCTCAGCATAGTCTGCACAGCTCAAAAACACATAGATGTCATTTACCAAAACCATGTAGTATGCCTTCTCATCACCCGTGTAACGCCTAACTACATTCTGCAAATGCTTAGCAACGTCGAAGACTTCTGGTTTCTTAAGCCAGCCAAAATGACCAGCGATTTCAATCGACGGCTCAAAGGCGACGACAGGTTTTACAGATCCGATGAGATTGATAACCTGCTGGCTCTTCAGTTCAGGCGGCTTGAAAAAGTGTCTCCCTTCTTCTTCGCCTGTTTCAAACCAAGGGAGTGAAGGTGGGAAGTTTGATGTTTTCGTGATCAAGTTTGGCACCCACTGGATTTTCATCAGTAGCGAGCCCAACTCTTGCCCATCAATTGTGCTCTTAAGTTTTTGCGGATGACGTTCAAGATGTTGCAAAATTGCATGAGACTTCTCTCTCGCTTTCGAAGGGTCTGAAAGCACGCTAACGATTTTAGCGCTTCGAAGAAGGTCTTTCGCAGTGATGTCGGATTCGCTTTTCATTCCAACTTCTTCCAAAACACTTAGGACGATGGAGTCGTTGTACAACTGGCCGACGGGAAAAACATTTTCGTTGGCAAAAAATTTCCTAAGGTTCTCATCCCTGGGATCAAAGACATCCGACCCCTTCACTCGCTTGCTCTGATTTGCCTTTGGTAAAAATGGCAACGCTTGTATATTCCGCTTGAAGTGAGCATCAGAACGAATGACGTGTGCAAAATTCGTGAGCACATAGGGCATTAACTTATCAATCTGCCCTCCATCATACATGTCGCTTTGGATGTCAGGCAGTACTATTTCGCAAAGCACTTCTGTGGGCTTAAGAATTCGGACTTTAAGAAGAAGAGCTAAACTCCTAGATTCTTCTTCAGAAATGTCAATGAGTTCTCGTCGTGGTTGAATGGGAAGAGATTCGATAAGCGCTGCTGACAGACCTTCTTTTTTGGACACAAACGTCTTGGAGAAGGTCTCAAAAATCGGAAGAGAGCACATGAGATCACTTTCTTTTTTTCCTAGTTGCACTGGTTTGACATTAGCAAGGAATGATCTCAAACTTCTCTTTTCTCCGGGAGAAAGCCCTCTCACGACTTCGGACAACTTTTTAATGGTGAACATGGACGCTAACTTCACTATTGTCTTGAAAATGCCTTGGACATTAGGACGATGCACAAAGGTATCTAAGACACAGGGGTGATCAAGTATAAAGTCCGGACAATCAGTCAAGACAACCCCACCCATCTTTGTCAAGACATGTATCAGAGCATCATTAATGATGTCCCCACCCAGGCTTTTAATCACGACTGTGGAAGGCTGAACAAGGGGCTTCAAAGTAACAGCTGTCTGTTCCATGCTGACTGGAATTAAGGAAAAGTTCTGAAGTCGATGCAGCCTCTCCCTAGTAGGGAAATGGTCGCGAACGTATCTCCAAATGAGCTCGATCCAGTCTCTTGGGGGATGGTTGTGCTTTTTGTCTTCTGGGTACCACAAAACAGTTTTTCCTTGACTCCAGTCGGAAGGGAGGGATTCTTTAAGAAGAACTACCACTTCGTTCTCGGAGAGAAGTCGTAGCTGGGTGCATTCTATGAAAGTAAATCATTAGCGTAAAGAGGGGGCTCCTGTCACTGTTAAAATTGTCTACTGTTTTCCGCTACTCCTTTTCAAGCAAGATAGTCATTAAAAAAACATAGCTTCTGAATTATTTGAAGGAAGGATATTAACAAAAAAACAAAAACAACCAAATTGGTGCTGATAGCTTGAAAGACATTGGATTAATCATCTGGACTATAAGCTTGCCTAGTACGGTTATCAAGGAGACTAATCATTTCCAAACGTAAATTGTCAAATTTCTACATTGCTTAACGGGATAAAAAGGAGTCGCAAACGGATAACTAAGGCCTGTTTCAAACGTCGTGCTACTGCTTGACTGCAGCACGACACTAGCACGACTTGGTTTCAGACGTCGAATTAAATTCAGTCGAATAGAACGGCTGTTACCGAAACAAAACACAAAAATAAAGAAACGGTTTGGCAAACTTTTAAAGGTATTCTAATGTATTTAAAATTTATGAATTGAGTTCGGTACGGCGGTAGCACGACGTTTAGCCTGAGTATCAGGCGTTTCTGGGGAAAGGGGGAAAGATGGAAGCGAAAGAGGGACAGAGCTGAGGGAGAGAAACGCCTGACACAGATGCTTTTACTAGAGCCTTTCACCCCCACACAGCATGATTCGATACCATCCAATGAAAATCACTTCCGGTCATTAGGTTGTCAGCTTCACGTGTCAAAAAGCTCGCCTAAAATAAATCTCACTTTACGGTCTGGCCGAGCTCTGGTGCTTGTGTTGCTACGGTTTCGCTTTTTTCTGAAATCTCCAATGAGGAGTTTTCGAATACTTGTAATGTAAAACCTGCCGTTTTTAAGGAATTATAACATGTTTTAGGAATTGTGCTGGTGTAAGATCGCCAACGCTCTGTTTGTAAATAAACGCGTGCCCGGAAAAAAATTGTAAATTGCTTTTGTTTACAGAGTTACATCAGGCGCTTGTCTGGCAGCTAAAAAGCTGATGTTATCCCTCGTATTCTCAGGTGGAATAAATAGAAAGAATAAATAGGAAGGTGCGATGGTGAAACACCTATGCCTAGAAATTATCAAGCAGCAGCAAATTCCACGACTTCACAGAGAGCTCGTGAAAGGTGTTACTAGTTCAAAAAGAGGTGAGAGCCTATGGCAAAGGTCAATCCCGTTGGCGAAATATGATGGCGCCCGCTTGAGCTTAAGACATTTCAAAAGTGAGAAGATTTTAGAAGAGGAAGCGAACGAATTCCAATCACGTACGTTATCGTAACCGCCACAAGCAAAGTCAAGCTTTTTAAAAGCATTGGTGCTGTCGGCCATCTCAATACATGGTTACCTCGCTCTATTTTCATTTACAGTAACAATACCCTTTTAACGGCAGGATGTTGTAAATCAGAACTTAGATATCTGAAACACTGATATCGTCTTCTTTGTCCCTGTCTTGTGAAACCAATACTCGGACATAGTTTCGGCAGAAGCTGGTATATGAGGCTTTTCCATACTCCGAGTACATCTTTCCTTTAAACTACGAGGCCTTGAAAACACAATTCTTGCTCGGGTTTTATTTCTATTTCAGGAAAGAACTTGAGAGCGCCCTCTAGAGCCTTTTGAATTCCTCTCTGCTTCTCTGTCCATGAAAATATCACATACCGGTAACATGAAATCAAAATATCTATGAAAAATTTCAACGGCTTCTCCTTGCCGATCGCTCTTGCGGTCGGTGACGTCAGGGGGTATTGTGTGTTATCCAATCACTGCCACATCCAGATCTTGGATGTGTCAAACGATTTGCTGAATGGTTTTGTGTCAGGCCTTCCTTTCTCTTCTCCCCTTCCCCCTCCCCCATCTAAAATCTCCTCTCCCCTAGCCCCTTAGGGAGGCCTGATACTCAGGCTACACGACGTTTGAAACCAAGTCGAGCTACTGCCGTGTAGCATGGCAAGGCTTGCCGTGCTACACGGCAGCAGCACGACTTGGTTTCAAACGTCGCGCTTAATTCGATCAATGAGTTCGGCACGGCAGTACCACGACGTTTGAAACGGGCCTCAGTATTTTTAAATCCTATTCAAAACCAGAAAATTAGTCCCAAGAATTTCGGCAGGTGGGACTGATGACGAGGGCATGAAATTTTGCACTAATGATAAATCCTGAAAAATTTTCCCTCATTAAATGGAAAGGTTATACTTGGGTGCCGCCAACAAAGAGGCGTCTCCAAGCAGCCTTACCTTGTCTGGCTGCGTAATTCAGCTTTTGAAGGATGTCCGAATCCAACTTTTGTTCCAAAAAGCGGTGCTCTAGGCCAGGTAGAAGATCTTGAGAATGCTCAAGGGAGCTGATGTAGATTTCGTGAGCAAGCGCTGAAAAGGTGCTAAATGTGCCATTGGACAGAGGCAAAAGCTCCAGGCCGCAAAGGTCTTCATATTGGTGATCTTGTAAACAGAACTGAAGAAGCTGCATCTTTTCATGCCTCATAAGGTTTTTATAACAAGTTGCAGATTTCTTCAATTCTTTTCTCGTGACACTAGCTGTGATATTCTTAGCATCAGTAAAAGACCTGATGGCATCCATCACGTGGCAGGGAACAGAGACAACTGGAACATTCGCTTCAAGCAAGACACTTTCAAGAAGCTCTTTAAGACGTCTTTCAGGTACCTGGTTGAAAATTGCATTTTTAACAAGAAGCCATTTCCCAAGATTGACTTTGCTGTAGATAATTTCCTTATCTGACAGGATATAAAACAATGATTGAACAATGCTCTCCCATTTCTGGTTGACTCGTGTGAACTCTGGCCACGCTCTGTAACAAAGCAAATGAATCATCATAGTTTAAATGAATGATAAATGAAAGTCGTTTAGGTAATAGGAGCAATGACAAAGGCCAATTCAATTTCTTTGGAGGCAGCATAATGAAATATCGCTTCGATTTGTCTCCTTAAGGCTGGTGTCCATATAATCACATCCTAGCGTCTCTTATATGGGTGCCTTCACAGGTAATATTTTGCCAAACTTCTTGGGCAATCGTTAAGATACCTAGACTTTTTTAGTACTCCTTAAAGGTCGGGGAGCTATTGCTTTTCCAACTTATGTTGAATACAATTTTATGGATGATATGCTAACGTTTCATCATGTTTGCCTTTTAAAAAGGGTGCTTTTATTTATCATTTATATGTTACAAGCAGAAGAGGCTGCTTGGTCCGGAGAAGGGAAGTAATCACGGGGAATTATGTCCGCAGATTATACTTCCTAGCTTTGCAGTTTCTTACAGTTGTCACTTACTGGTAAACAGTCGCTGCTTGCACTTTGAAGCTCTTGTTGTTGATGGCTTCTAAAATCATCATGGCATAGGCTTGGGGTATGGCCTCCTCTAAAAGACACTTATTCCATTTTAAGGATTTGTCAGTTAAAGGGTGACCTTCCTGTTCTGCGGTTGGAAACTTGATATGACCTCTATTCTGAGTCAGGGCAAAGAATCCATTCACATGAACCGGCAAGCCTGTCAGACTGGACTTTGGCACAGGTAACGGCAAGACACAAAACACGTGACCTTGAATTTCTGGGACGGGATCCTGGGGGCTTGAGGGCAATGTCATAGCAACGCCAGCTAAAGGTAAGTAGCTGAGACTTGGATCTACAACAAGTGCTTGAAATTCAGACGATAACGTTCCACCACAAACGTAGTTTGTTACAAGGAAGGAATGACTGCATTTGCCTGCTTCTACCCCTTGACGATATTGTACTGCCTCAATCGTAATTGGATAAGTGACATGGACTGAGTGGAATAAAAGCGGACCGCTAAGGACTGTTTCTTGAAACTCCTTTCTCTTTTCTCGTACCAACTTAAGGCTTTCTTCACATATTCTGACTTGAAACGTTCTTCTGGGTTTGCTTTCTAACTCTTCACGAGCGTACAGTTCAATACTTTCAAGATGTTGCATGAACAGTAGAACCAAGTGGGCATCAGCCATGAAGCCATTGAACAAATCGTTAACCTTTTCGGCAGAATACAAAGTTTTTGATAACTTGGAGGGCTCAGTTCGTAGTGGAAAGCGGAAAAGAGTACCCTTGTAAGAACCTCTGGTGAAAATGTCCTCTGGGTAGTCAAATACCCCCCTGTAAGGAGCAAACTGGTCTGGTATGGCGTTCATGATATCACGGTCATCTCTTATGTCCCAGCTGTATCCTGTACGTCTTTCTCCAAAGCATTTCTTGTGTGCATCAATTACACCGACCTGCGAGGTGCTCATGATGCTTGGTAAATCTGTGGTTTAGTAAGAATGTGATCGGAAAATCAAATAGAGAAAAAGTATTGTTACTTAAATGTTATGCAAGCATAACGTTGACAAAGTGAACCTATTTTAATAATATATAGATTTAGCCAGGGCTAAAAGCGAAGCTCCCGTTAATAAATTCATAATTTAAATCAAACAATAAACTTGTAATCCACAGATCAGGGCACATTCATTTGACCTTTGAGGCAAAGGCTAAGTGATTTTAGAGAAAAATAATTTGACAGTCCAAGAGTGAAACAAATTTTACATCGAGTTATAAAATAGCAAAAAAATAGCAATCATGTTCGATCACAGTAGATTAGGCCTGGAAAACAAGTAGACCTATTCGTGTATTGTATTTGCATCAGCTGTTGCATCATATAATGTGGCATTCACCAGTCTCTCCAACATTGCTCCGTTACAGAGACTATGGATAATTGGACAACCCCGAAGTATGATTTTAAGAAACACACGCGCCACGATAGTCCTTGGTGGCAGCCAATTTACACGTTGCATTCCTCTGTCTAAAAGAGAGGCCAAAATAAAAAATAAGGCCGGATTTTTTGTGTTCGACAAGTTTAGTTTACTAGTAAATCTTGGCGACGAATCTGGTGGCTTGTAAACCAGCCTTTTAAACATATTTTTCCTCATCACGTCTCAGGTAAACAGTACTTTGAGGCCCTTTTTTATCATAAAGACCTCGGACAGANTAATATATAGATTTAGCCAGGGCTAAAAGCGAAGCTCCCGTTAATAAATTCATAATTTAAATCAAACAATAAACTTGTAATCCACAGATCAGGGCACATTCATTTGACCTTTGAGGCAAAGGCTAAGTGATTTTAGAGAAAAATAATTTGACAGTCCAAGAGTGAAACAAATTTTACATCGAGTTATAAAATAGCAAAAAAATAGCAATCATGTTCGATCACAGTAGATTAGGCCTGGAAAACAAGTAGACCTATTCGTGTATTGTATTTGCATCAGCTGTTGCATCATATAATGTGGCATTCACCAGTCTCTCCAACATTGCTCCGTTACAGAGACTATGGATAATTGGACAACCCCGAAGTATGATTTTAAGAAACACACGCGCCACGATAGTCCTTGGTGGCAGCCAATTTACACGTTGCATTCCTCTGTCTAAAAGAGAGGCCAAAATAAAAAATAAGGCCGGATTTTTTGTGTTCGACAAGTTTAGTTTACTAGTAAATCTTGGCGACGAATCTGGTGGCTTGTAAACCAGCCTTTTAAACATATTTTTCCTCATCACGTCTCAGGTAAACAGTACTTTGAGGCCCTTTTTTATCATAAAGACCTCGGACAGAATTTGTTCTTTTTGCCCTATTTAAACCTATAATTCTGCAGTTTTTCACAATTTTGCAAGAGAATTTGCACGCATTCAATATCCACGACGATCAAAGCACGCGCTTTCTTTGCACAACAAATTATAGCATTGAATTATAAAACGTTTTCGTGAAGAGAACTCTATAATGCCGGGACTTTTCAGTTAGAAAAATCTGGTCCTATGTGATATGTAGGGTAATAATTATGGGCTTTTAATGAAAACGGTAAAAAAATTCCCAAAATCACTTTCGGCCAGCCGGACGGGTTCTCACTTTTGACAGGCACCAAATTTGCAGTGCGATTAACAGAGTTACCATTTACGCTTCAACATGATAGATAAATTGTTATGTTTAGGTTTTATCTCCCTTTATTTATTAAATTGTGTATGGTTTTGTTATGTGTAATCTTTAAAGCGAGTGATATTTACGCGCGGCGTTTTGAGTATTCCTGCATGCGATGTTTATGTTCGACTGGAAACAAAAGGGGCAGCGATAAAAATTGCGAGAGGGATCACTAACAATCAATAAAATAAATATAGTCCGGTGAAACACGTACAGAGACAATAATTTTCATTCACGAAGAGAAGTATTGAGAGTAAAGTGTCTTTGAAAATCATGAGTCAGATAAGCATAAGCTTATTTATGTTTTTAGCCGGCTTCCCGGTGTTTGCTCTTTTTCAAAATGAACTCGAGGCAAGAAAATCGCTCAGAGCTTTCTGTTTACAGCCAAAATCATAACTAAATAATCTTTGGAACCTTTTCTTTGAATTTGCGGTCAAAAAATGTCTGAAGGCTTTTTAAACCTGATACTATTGTAGGTTAGATCATTGCTCGTGTATAAACTTAAGCCGCATAAACCCTACGCTCGACTTCAGGAAACCGAAAAAAAAAACACATCAAAGACAATAATTGCTCTGGCTTACCAGTCGAGATGCTGCTTCTGAACGTCATCAAGTGTTCCAGAATCGCTTGAGACTTTTCAACCCTCTTACGCCTCAAGCAAGGGCAAGTGAGTAAGCTCATTTTTGAAAACGATGCCATCCGAAATGGGACTTCCAATGACTTTGACAGGCGGTGCATTTGTCAACAAAAAGCGCAATAAACAAACCAGCCGTGAATTACAGAACAATCTTGATGGCAGCTGTATTTCATTTTGTACACCAAGTAGAAAAAGACAGTTTAAAACATCACGAAATGACACAAAACTCTGTCAGCTCCAGCTATCAGTAAGCAAGTTTCCAGGCGCTGCATAAATTTTCCGCATGAACTCACCTGTCAAATTTTAACCAATCAGAACATAAAAATTGGACGTAGAGCGTGATCAACGCGTGACAGTGAGAAAAGTAATATGCATTTTAAAAAAAACTGAACTTGAGCCTGCGATAATTGAAAAGTTTCAACTTGTCAGCTGATACTTTCAAAAAAACACTCGAACTCAGTGGGTCGATACCTGAGCCCGCGATAGGGTCAGGCGATACTGGTCAGCAGAAACACTAATTTGACAGCTGTCAGTTAATCAAAACATGGATATACAATATCAGGTTGCAGGCTCCCAAACTAGCTAGAAAGTGTGAGATTAAACATTGGTATGCCTGTGGTGCAGACGGACGGAAGGTCGGGTGGTCGGTGTACGGTCACGTGATTGCCGAATTTTCTAGGATGGATAGATTTTCTAAGCTATGGGGCTTCGTATTGAGCCCGTGATCAAATAAAATATCAGCGCAAAAATTTAAACACAAGGTGACCTCAATGGCTAGAAAAATGAGCCCGCGATACACTCAGATGATGATGGTTAGCGTATACTCTAGTTTGACAGCTTCAATTAACCTTCATTAGAATGGCGAATATTCGAATTAACAGACTACGAGTGTGAGTAAGACATATCCGTCCGGCATGTAGTGAAAAATGCCAGATCGTGTACCTGAGCGCACCTGAGCCCACGTTATTAGTTTTCTGATAGTGGTCTGCACATGTCCCATTTTGACAGCTGCCAATTGACCTTAATTTGGCTTGCCAATATAAATTTAAACGACTGTCAGCCAACTGACAGCCTTGCCCGGCGTAGTTTCGTTTTTATGTTGAATTGGTAAGTGTGACATATTATATCAGCTTACATGTAGGAGCAAAACGACTTGTCTTTCATCTGAGCCCGCGAGATGGTCGTGTGATGATTGTCAGCGGATGTCTGATTTTGACAGCTGTCAATCTAATCGTACTCATACGGATGGCTTACATAACTAAAAGGCTAGTCAAGTTGTGTAAGATCTATTGTGACATTTGACATCGGCTTGCATGAAGTGTTTGTACGGGTGGGCGTACGCTACGTCATAACCAAATTTTCTCGGATGGATAATTTACCAAATTTTCTTACCCATGGTGCTCCGCTGCGCGCGCGCTTCGCGCGCGCGAGATCTCCGCTACTAAACGCTGTTGTCATTTGCATTGCATGTGCTATACTTGTAGTGTGTTGAAAAAATTCGAACACTATTTTTTGAAAATGTTGTTTTTCCAGGCCAGGCTGAATATTCTTATTTTCTGCCGATTTTAGGCCGAACATATTCTTGTATTATTCCTAAAATATAGCTTCTCACTTTTCTATTTTAGAATGTATTGGTGTATAAATTGAAGTTGATGAACATTTCTTGGTAGCTAGTTTTCCGGTTGAGACGAAGAAATAACTAGCCGTTATTCTCAGTGTACACGTACTTACCAGTAATATGGAAAACCACCTTGAAGCCCAGGCCAGAACGACCTCCTTTCATTGGATCTTTGACCCTTTTGCTCTCACAAAGCATTCTGATACCTTCCCAGTCGCTGGGCTTAAACTCGGCATTATTGTATGCATAAAGTGCGGGTCCCTGTTAAGAATATGGCATTTACAGTTAGATAACTGATGTAAAAGGAGCAACAGTTCTGTAATTGAGAGAGCAATAGAGTTGTAACTTTTGCTGCATCGTGTTTTCAGCAGCCAAAAATAAAAAGCAAACGGAATGATAATATGCTTGCAAACGCCATTCGTAAGCTGGACTTCGACTAAATAAATCGCATTTCTTTGAAAAATTTCCTCCCATAGGCTCTTTAAAAGGGCTCGCGGGTAGTAGTGAGTTAAACATTCCGTCTTATTTAGTCGTGAAAAAGCACATAAACTGCACTCAAAGAGCATTTTTGAATTTTTCTTTTACCTCATTAGTTTTCTCTTATATGACGTCGTTGGGCCTTGAATAAGGTTTTAAAAATAGGGCCAGGGTTCTTAAAAACTGTTGCAGATTAATACTAACTGATAAATTCTCTTATTTACTAACTTGAAAGTAGATAGGTGATAGTAGGCTGACCTGAAACTTAGCAAGTTCTTTGCAGTGTAGTTTTTCTGTTCCATAGCTGTGTCGGTCATGAAGAAATTTCACTTGGCTTGCACCAGCATCCTCTGCATTTTGAATGAGCTCCTTACGGAAATAAACCAACCAACCTTTATTAGATGTTTTTAAAAACTTCCGTTACAGACACAGTGAAATTAATTTACGTTAGAACAAAAGACTACTTATTTTCCAACCTCCGATCAAGTGTTTTTGATTTTCTTGAGAAGAGACGAAAAAAACGAACGTCTAATACATTTTTTCTTTCACAGGAGGCCACCCGCGCCCTCACTATAAATAAACTAACATCTGCTCGATCTGTCATCAAGACGTAACAGAAGTCTGCCACCAAATGTTTCACAATTCAACCTCTTTGGGAGGAGGAAGCAGTTTAGAAGAGGAAAAAAACGAACGCCTGATTAATTTTTTTTTCTTTCTCAGGAGGCCATACGCGCCTCCACTATAAATAAACTAACAACTGGTCGATCTGTCATCAAGACATGGAAGAAGTCTGCCACCAAATGTTTCACAATTCAACCTCTTTGGGAGGAGGAACGATTCTTATGTTTAAGCAATAGAAAACGTTTTCCGTGTTTACATAGCCTGATGCAAACACTCGAGGGGTTGGGAGAATTCGAGACAGTTATGCAAACCCGAGACGAATGCATATGCCAGGCTGGCGCTAATGAGTTGAGATTAAACCTTTTAATAATCTTTGCCTCACCTTCAGAATCTGTCCATCATCCGGGTACTGGTCCAAGATTTTCTTTAACTGCTGAATCAGCGATGGCTGAATCAGATTAAAACCTGATGAAAAAAGCTTCACAAGTGACTTATTTTCCCGGCTTTTAGGCTAGAATATAATAAATTAGAATTTCTGACTCCTTCCTAATGGTGCACTATAATTACTTGAAATGTTTTTACCACAGGCGCCAACCACTTCTCCTAGGGTCTCCTATCCTTATCCCTCTTACACAAACTATGCTGAATGCTTATTTCACTCACAGCTTTCTTGACATTTAGGTCAAGAAAGACATCGGTCCATCATGAGGAGAACAATAATGATGATGACGATGATAATGATGACTTTTATGATAAGATCGATGAGATAGGTTGTCGCTCGGGATGAGGTGCATTGGCATGAGATGGAGTAAGATTAAATAAATGGGATGTGACAGATCGGGAACAGATGGGATGGGAGAGGATGAGCTGGTTAAGAAAAGATAGAAACGCATGGAATGAAATAGGACGGTTGATATAGCTTCAAAATCTCCGGCCATAAAACAAATCACTTAAAGACTGGTCCATCGGGAAACAGTTAATTTTGTTTCCCTCGAATCTCAATAGTGAAATACTTGGGAAACACAATTGATTGTTTGCCGAGGCGGACCATAATCATTAAAAGTCTATTGTTTCTTGTACCGTTCGCCGTCGCCTACTTTCCATTTGTAAACGGTCTTTGCACTATGTAAACGATATATCCACTGGAGCTTCTTCCACTGTAAAAATTGTACGCAGACGACACTAAGCTCTATAAAGATAGAGAACATTCCTGATGATACGCAAGTGCTACAATCTGACTTGTTTCGACTCACTGAATGGTGCAAAACCTGGCAGTTAAAGTTTAACATCGATAAATGTGAAACAATGAGAATAACACACAAATAAGATAAGTCGAAAGAGAGCTATACACTTGATCCAAATGGCGAAATTCTAAAGAGTGCGAAAAATATCAAAGATCTCGGTATAACAATATCATACGATCTATCATGGAGCGATCATATTGACGAAGTGGTCAAAAAAGCCAACAAAGTCCTCGGGGTCATTAAGCGCGTTCTTGGGTCTAATAGTGTAAATGAATTCTCTTTGCTATACAAATCTCTAGTAAGGCCGATACTGGAGTATGCGGCTCCAGTGTGGTGCCCCTTTCTAGTAAAGGGCATTGTTTTGCTAGAAAAAAACCAGAGGAGAGCGTCGAGACTGGCTCTAGGCCAAAAGAGGGGCCAAATGGACTACGAGGAACGTTGCTACATTTTAAAGTGGTCACCATTAAAGAATCGAAGACTATTTTTCTCTGATCGAGTGTTATAAATGTCTATATTTTTCTAGGATTGCGAGCGGGCGGAATCCTCCAAATCCTGCAATCTGATTGGTTCCGAGGGCGGGCAGTTTTTTACGATCTTGCCCGCTAACCCGGGCGGAATCGTTGGCAGCTTTATTCACAAGTGAACCAGTGATTTTTAACCATTTTTCTTTTAAAACTTGCGCCATTATTAGCGTTAGCTAGAGAAAAGTGCATTTTGTTATTCACACAAAACATCTGAAGGGAGAATCAAGCAAGTGAGCCAGGAAAACCGCTAAAGTAAAGCAAAACCGGCGGCTTGTGATGTCGCTTCACTAGCTTTATAACCTACGCTGTAAGTACTGCAATCTTGCTCTTATGCACCGTTTATTCGACATTTTTCCTCTGTTTGTAGGTTTGTTTTCCATTTTTGCTGTCTGAATCTAGATTCTACCGTTTTTCATTGAATTTTGTCTCGCTAGTTTTCAGAAAAGGTTGTTGTCAAAGATTACATGTAGCTTTCAATCTTGAATAAACAACACGAACAACTTTTCCAGCAGTCAGTTATCGCCGTTTTTATTTCTTTGTTTATATAATTGTTTAGTTACCCACATCACCATCATTTATTCAAATTCACTTCAAAACCCCAAAACTGGTATGTGTAATTAGCTCTTTTTATAAAGCCTTTGTGCAGTTTTTATCCCGCTCGATTGAATTAATCTTAAAGTAAATATTCAGCCGAAGAAAATCTTTGCTGTATTTTCTTTCCTGTGGCTTTTAAGTTCGTCAATTCTTTTATCCTTGTTTGACACTCAGATTATGAATTGTCTACCAAGACAAAAAGAACCTTTCTTTATTGTAAAGAGAGCTTAATTGCAATAATATAAACTACAAGTTAAAATTCATGTTGTAATGTTTTGTTTTAGTTTGCAATCGATCTCGCGCTTTGAATAACATCAACGCGAACGCGCCCTTCTTCAACACACATAGGTTGGGGGCTGAAGTAAAATTTTCCTGAAACTTTTAAATCTCTGTAGGAAAAAAGTAGAATGTTATTCACCGGCCTAGGTCGGCCCGTATTGACAGAAACTGTGCCCTCGGGCCGTACTCAAGACCTCGGGGACAGTTTTTCTCAATACGGACCGCCCAACCGGTGAAAAACATATATATATTTTCTTTAAGTAATCTCGAATTTCGAGACTTTTTCCAGTTAGCGTCAAAACGAACAAGAAGTAATCATAATTACAAGTTGAAGTTTTAAGCGTCTAGTTGTAATTGTTACAAATATTCATTTTTTGTGAAAACGAATGGAACGATTTACCTGAGTGGGTTGTCGGGGCGGGAAATCTTGCATGTTTTAAGCGTTCTTTAGGATCATTTTTAAATATTTCGTAGTATTTTCTTTCATTCCTTATTGGCTTTATTTTTATCTACCTTTAAGGACGTACATTTTTAACATTACATTTTAATATTAGAATATTTTAAAGATTTTTCTTTTGGGAGTTTTTTACATAGGGCCAACCTCTTAAACTCCCTTTTCAAAGCATTCTTTGTATATATTTATCTTTGTTTTTTAAATGCTTTGAACGTATGTATGTATGTATGTATGTATGTATGTATTTTTAACAGTCCATGCCACCATTAGTAACCAAACCTTTAATCGTGATAGATGTAATATACTCCCTGGATTAAGTTACAATAGGCAAATACTACGTTATTGAACAGTGCTTGAGGCTTTGAAGCCCAAGTTGAATTTTTGTTAAAAGTCGCCCTGGAAAGGGCTTGGTTATCACAGTCCTCCCAAGAGTAATCTAAGACAATAATTATGCGAAATTTTGAGTAGAAAACAAAGTAAAATGCCGCGCATAGTTACTTGACCGATGCTTTATCTGAATAGAGATTGATTCATTAAATGAGGCGACATGTCATGAGTGGTATTTTGACATTTTTCACCCTTAATGGAACTAATAGGCCATTTCCGAGTTCCCCCGGGCTTCTGGCTTCTGTATCAAAACGAGGTTAAGTGATCAGCCTTTTGATATGGATAAGTTTTTCATTCTCAAGCAAATAAAACTCATTTTCACAAGAAAGGCTGCCCACTTGACCTCATTTTGAAAGTGAGAGTTTTTGCATTTCGGAAGTGGCCTATTTATGTTAGGCTATCAATCTGGGCATCGAATGACGGATAAATTCTCTGAAGATCTTCGAAAAGGACGCGACTTGTTACAGACTGTAAAAACGTATTACGCAAATTATTTTCGTATATACTAGAACAGTGGATACTGTTATTTCTCGCGCTCGGATTAGTTATTCAAAATCAGGATATCCCGTGTGACGTCAAACTAGCGCAAGTTACGAGCAAAATGGCTTTCTTGCTTCA